TACCATAAGAAATAGCATCATAAAGTTTTTAATGAACGAATGGATGAAGGCAGAATTTAAAGAAAGGTGCATAGAAAAGTTCTCTGTGCAAACGTGACAGAAAAATGTTATGGAATAACAGTTCAAGACCACGAGGAGATAGCATATCTCCAGAGCCTTGAAAAAGAGGCAGATGGACACCTACTTCTTCATGTAGCTCACGCAGGGTTATAGTGCTACACAGGTCTGTTTAGAGGACACTGAATTTTTCATCATGGCATTGGCAAGGTTGAAGTTCCGATGTTCTTGAAATGTGGGAGTAAAACTTGCACTATACTGGTTGACATAAACAAAGTTGCCACCAGCATCGAAACTGAAGCATGTTGGGCACTAGTTGGGTTGCACTCCTTCACTGGATGTGATACTGTAAGTGCATTTGCTGGAAAAGGAAAAGCAAGAACATTGAAACTGATGACTGGTAGCAAAGATATACAAAAAATGTTCCAAGAGCTAGGGAAGGGATGGAACCTCTCGATGATTTGATGAACAAGGTAGAAACATTTACTTCCCATCTATATGCTCCAAAAGCATCATCCAGAAAGGTGAATGACGTAAGATCCGACCTATTTTATGCTAAAAAGGGGGAGATACCAGATTCCTCCTTCCTTAGACTGTTTGAAGAAGCACTGCCTGAGATCAAGTTACCAGAAAGCAATATGACAAAGGTGTCCGGAAGAATCCTGAATTACATAGTCCAGTTGGAAGAGGTTAAAAAAAAACAAAGAGGGAAAGGGTGTGCAGCATTTATTAGTGCATAGACCTTCAGACAGCCCCTGAGGTGGTACTTGATTTTTAGCCTGAAACTGCATAAAAAATTTATATTGCCGAAAGGTGTATGATAAATGGACTAACTGCATTAATATGTGTAAACTTGGGAAAATCGAGAACCGCTTCACAAATCAGACAATGAAGTGAATATGGATGTAGAGACAGAGGACATTGATAATGAACATGATTAGTAATGATGATAATGATATATTGTGAATAAGTCAGGTCTCAAGTAGAGCCTCTATGTAAAATGTTTTATTTAATTTCAAGCTTAACCATGGTATTAATGGACACTTCTATCTTCTATGTAAAACTGGTAAATTGTATTACATTTTTGACATCATAAATTATATAAGCAACACATGTGCACAATAATGTGTCTCTCTATATATGTGCTTCGGTACTTAACTTGTTCGTTATACAGATTTATGAGGTAATGTTTGACTAAAAGTGAAATGAAATTTTTGCAATTTTTGTTAGAATCACGGCCAGTAACTCAGGTAATGCTCTCTTAAAATGGTTATCCTCATATTTCTGACTAATTGCACATTCTAGTAGAACTTTCTATCACAGTTGACTACTGTGTGACAAATACTTTGGAGGTTGCAATTATATTTAGCTCAAGATACCAAATTTGTACCAATTAAGGGCAAAAACTCTGTCTCCAGCATTGAAGCCAGAACGTATTTCACGCTATCATACATTTTCTATAAAGTTTATTCACCCAAAATGGTACCGACCACCCCTAGTGGCTCATGGACTAAGTGTCAATATCTTTCATATATTTACATTACATGTTTTTTTTTCATATAAAGGGAAAGGAAATCTATTGCACTCACAACACCATAACACAGACAGGGTGCAAAGAGGTTAAAGCATGTGTTTTAGTTTGATGTCATAATCGTTGAACGAGAGAGTGCAACCTCATAAGCGAAAATCAAAAAAGTAACGCCCAGAAGCTGTTACAATGGCTGATCCACTAACTGTATCTTACACGAAGGATAATACAGATTTTTAAATAGAAAAAAAAAACATATGCAGTTAAGGTAGAAAGTTAAAAAATGTAAATATAAGCAATGATTCATTATTTTTTTAAAATATATATTCTCATAACTGCAACTGTGTGTGCAAACAAATTTTCATTTGTTTGCACAAACCGTTGCAGTTATGCGACTATATCTTTCAAAAAATAATGATTCATTGCTTAAATATAATATACTAAAAGAAGCACATACATGTTTATTAAATTAATTGAAGTTTTCATTTCATGTTTACTTGAATTTGATTTATAAAACAGAGGGATTGTTAAGAAGTATTTTTAGAATGAAAAAAGACAAACGCGTTTAAAAGCATCTAATTATAACAAGCGCTTAATCCCCCATATTTTCTAGAGTCGAAAATTAAATGACGTCTTTGGTAGTTTTCATCATTGTTGTTTTACTTTGATGCATTAACAAGGAAAATGTCTAAATCGAATAACGCCGCAAGGAGCTTCAATGCATTTTTGGTTCAAATGAAGAAATAGGAAGTAGAGATAGTTGCGTTGATTAAACAGACATATAGAGAACAAATGTAAATTAAAAAAAAATATTTATAGATGGTTTCAACGATTTTTGGCGGGTGATGGGTAAGCAGAGGATAGAAAGACCGCGAAAGATAGTAGGTTTAACGGACACATTCAATGGTATCTGATGTTGTCAAAAAGACAATAGTGTAACGGATAGAGCGATGTGTTAAACTTTAAGTTTGTCTTATGGTACTTAAAATTCTGTTGATTTATGTTCACTTTTATCAATTTTATAAAGTTGTGACATTACTTTTGGATCAACCCACGTACTAAATGATTGCACGCTTCTTTAATGGCTCTGATGGGACACTTAAAATCAATATTTTTAATTGCATAATATTGATCATATCATGAGGTTTAAAGTGAACACGGAGTTTAAACAAAGACTCGTTTAAATGTGTAAACTGATAACGTCATCAAACCTCTATAAATATTAATTATAAATTAATTTATATTTTCATGCAACGAATCCAATATGACTGTTAGCAGAAAACAAGTTCAAAACGTTAAAGTGTTCCCATTTATACATAAATATAAATTAAAAACCAAGAAGAAGAAACTGGTCCAAAATGCTCTTAATGACAACTGAGATCAGGTATTTCAAACCTTTGATAATTTTGCCACTGATTTCTTAAATAATATCTTACGCTGAAAATTGACTGCATGGAATGTAAAATGAATGCAGAACTACATATTTTGTGTGCAAAAAATGTTTTAAATAAATACAAGTCCGCAATTAAGGAATGCTTAAAATCTTATTGCTCTAAAGGTTTAGGTAACAGTTGTCACTTTTTGATTGAATCATATTTTAATATAACATAAACTTTGACTCAAAATTATTGTCCAGGTCAAGATAATGTAATATATCTTTCTAATCACTACACCAGTTATTCCAATATCTATTGTAATTATCGTGTGATTCTATAATGTCAAATGAATAAACTATATTCTAATATCTGATTGCATTTATCCAACGTATATATTGACTTGGAATCAAACCATCTCAATAAAACGTCAAGGTGGAGGTAAAGCGGTGTACCTTAATAGGATAATGAATAGATCTATTTTGGATATTATCTAAAGGTTGCAATTTGTTGAAGTCTCAGACACTGGAAGCATTATCCAAACAGGTACTAAACAAACATTTTTTTAAGCATTAAACCTAAAATCTTCATGACTATATATTTACATTTCCAATGTCTTTGTCCGATGTAATTCAAAATTATCAATGTACTTTATTTCTACATAAATGTTTTGGTTCATCGATAGGCGCGTTAAAAAAATACACGTGTTGGGAGGGACAGATAGAAGCGGGGCTTAGAGCACGTGGATTTACGGAATCAAGAGCATGTAAATATTAGAAATAAATCAGATTTTTATATGATGATGATCAATCGATTGGTTTGCGTGATATTTCTATGCATAAAGGCCGAAGTTATCACGCAAGCCACTCGATTGATAATTTGAATTATAAACGCCTTCATTTAAATTATCATGCAAGCCGCTCGATTGATCACTTGAAACAAAGAAAATTAAATAGCTATTCGTTTAGAATGGAATAAATTTAATTAGAGCAAAACCCCTGCTTTAACAAGATTTTCTGCATTTTTTCATGAAATTACCAGTGCGCTTAAACGCTATACTCAAATACTTTATAATTCTCAACTGTTTTCAGCTTATCCACTCCGATAGTGAATTCAAAATTTGTCTGACTTAGTTTTAAAATGTAATCATATTTGTTGGTGTTTATAAGAACTCTCGAACGTCTACACAAGATATGTACATGTGTACCTTCTTTTACATACGTTCTGAATCTTCTAGAGACTTGGTTATTAAAGCAATGCCATTATAGTAAGGTTGACAATTTTCGATTCACTAGTTCTACCCTAACAAAAAAAATATAGTTAACTATAGTCTACTATAGTTTACTATAGTTAACTATAGTAAATCAAAGTGTCAAAGTTTTCGCCAAAGTTTTTCAAAGTTATCACTATAGTAAACCAAAGTTTTCGAAGTGTCAAAGTTATAACTATAGTAAACTATAGTTTACTATACTTAACTATAGTTTACTATAGTTAACTATAGTTTTTTTTGTTAGGGTATGCCTAACTTGAGATCGTACATGTCTTGTACAGTTGTATCAGATCATGAAAATTCATGAAAACCCTGCCTTTCCATCTTAACAAATGCGCTCTCCCATATATTGTCATCATGTAATAATTCTTCTTAAATCATGACAAACCTCAAGGAACAGCTTTTTAAAAGTACAACGAGTTAACGAGTTTAATATGTGTATTATTTCTAAGTAGCAAATTAAGTTTTAATTAGGGTGATTCGAAGAATTTTTCTGACCAATTTGCAAGTAGCAAAAATGATGTTTAAATGAAGAAATAAACAAGAGAGAAATCCAATACGCATTTAACAATTATTCTTCTCATTTTTGCATATACATATATGCCCGACCTCATTTTCATCCTTTCAACAATGAGAGAAAATCAATCTAGTAAGTAGAAATAATAATCTCTAAAAGCTTTAATGAAAAATTATATAAGACTTGATTGACCTCATAACGATCGATAGGATTTTCAGAACTTATGTTTAACACAAAGTATGATGGTTGCTTGCAGTTTTGTGTTAAATACCCCTTTTCTAACATGCAGTTTAGCAGTTGTACTATTTCATGGAATGCATTGTTTTACAGAAATTCGTGAATTGGGCCTCATCAAAATTAGCAAGTTTGATAATAGGTTGACAAGGAAGACATTCCACATCAATCTAGAACTTGAAGGATTGAGCACCATTTACTGTGGACTTATTTGTACCACTCAAAGGCCTCTTTGTGTTGGAATGTTATATAACTCTATAACTAAATCTTGTAAAATCCTTATATCGCATCTGACTGAACGGTCAGTGAATGACAGAGTGTTGGTAGAGGGATGGGGCGTTTGGATTGACCCAGAAGGTAAGATAATGTCACGGTAGCAAATAAAAAACTATAATGAAGCCTCAAATATTTATTGTCCATCCCCCTTAAATGTTTCAACCACATTTCTGAGGATATTGAATGAATACTAGTTTCCACTGACATATTTCAAAGGATAATGGAAAGGTTTCGAGAGATACCGTGTACGTGTAACTTACACGTACAAGTACACGTAAGCTTGACGTTTTCTCAAACGTGCAAACGTACCTGTGGCATAACAAGATTTCAAATTTTAAATTATATCAAATCAAAGTCACCCTTTGCATAATAGAAGATTTACACCTGCTGGCTGCCACTGATGGAGTAATGGAAGAAGAAATTCTCTTTTCTATCATCGAATCCGACCGAAGAACGTTTGAAAAAAAATTGATGTAGAAAAGTTAACTGTATATTGTTTAACGTCCCTCTCACTCATATGGAGACGCTGAAGATGAGTGCAGATTACTTTTCAGATTTGAAAAATCTGATAAATGAATTGTATTCCGCGCATTACAGATACCCATTCTCATACCTAAGCTGACCTTTACCGCTCATGGCTGTCAAATCAGAGTTTGGATGAATTATCTCATGCTCTTCAAATGACAGGTGCCCCTTTGCAAATTTGTTTGGAAGTTATTGATGGAACTGTTAGAATAATTTGCCGACCATCTATAAATCAAAAGATAGTTTTTAATGGACATAAGGGTCCACGCCCTGAAATACCAAAGCATAGTTTTACCAAACAGTATTATAACGCACATGTTTGGACTCATTGAAGGGAGGCGAAATGATGCTGGATCATTAGCCTTATTCAACAACAAAATGTCAGCAGCTCGTACGTGTTCGGGAAAATTCTAAGCTTGATTTCTTTTCTTGATTATAAGAAAAACACGAAGTTGTACTTGCAGCCAGTTGGAGTCTTTTTAATGGCGTCCATTCTCACTGCATATGTAATTGTCAAACGTGCTTATATGGAAGCGATACTTGAATTTACTTTGGTTAGGATAGCGTTAATATAAACATGTCGTGCGAATATGCTAAGTGACTTATCATTCTTGGATAACCATGAAAAACATAGCCAGATTAAATTAAGAAATTTTATCTCTAACAGATTAAACAGAGACAAAATTGCTGTATCAACTGTGACACAGGAATGATCTATTCTCTATCTGATATCTGAAATATTTTTTTATTTATATTAGAAGACCGGGAACTCTCGTCGTCATCATCTTAAAAAGGTCAAATTAAATTAAGTTCTACACACAAGTACATGAACTCTATTAACCTTCTTCTGGTGACAACCTCTCCATAGCTCTATTTCTCAAGTTGACAGCTTTAGCGTTTTCAAGGGATTCCTTTTTGTCCGTTTCCTTCCGAATCTCTTCTTCGATGCTAGTACAATGTGCGTATATCCTCAAACAAAAGCTCTTTTTCTCTGTACTCTTCTTTACCTTACCTAAATGAACACGAGATTTAGATGAAATAGAAATACTAGTACGTAAGAAATCATGATTTATAGAAAATTTAAACGAAAAATAAAGAATCTAGAAAATAAAGTGTAAATCAATCTGAATTAAAAAATGTTAATTGATTAACAAGGAGCTTACTTTTTAAATAAATATTTTGTCATTTTAATCATGCCGAAATTGAGTTAATAATAGGAGAACCCTCTTCCCTGCTCTTCTGTTGTCTATTTTAAACGTGTCACTGGACATACTTGCACTGACTTTGACCCATTTTCCTTTGATTTTTCACCATCACTTCACATAATAAATATAAATCATCTGTTTTATTAAATCGGACCCTTTTTGCGTGAGAATGTCATGTTGAGTCTGAAATCAAATTCATAATTTACATTATTAAATGAACGAGCACAAAGAAATGTAACATAATTTTAATAAATGAAATAAACTTTCTCTCACTCTCTCTCTGTACTCAAACAAGTACGCCTTTTCACGCATGATCCTACATGTATTTGTGTTTATTAGATCCGTACGGGAACAGCCATTTAATTTTTAAAGGGGAATGGGGGGTGGCACATTTTAGAAATAACCTTTCCTTGAAAGCGTGTTAAGTAGTTCTTCTACCTCCCCCTCTCAACAACCTGGAGATTTTCTTCCTTGTCCAACTAGTTTCAGAGAGAAAAATAATCTGTCCTTGATTATCTTGAAAATAAATAACCTGTTCTTGACTTGTATGAAAATAAATAAATATTTTTGCCAGCGTCCTTTATAATCAAATGTCCGTCCCCTAGTCAGTGCCCCCATATACCTTCGTTCTTCCGATAATTCCTTTTCGTAGCTGAATTACCTGACAAGAGCAAATCTTTATTTTTGTATTTAAACTATTTTTTCATTGATAAAGAGTACAAAGAATAAATCTTACATTCAGAAGGCTTTGACAGTGTAATATGCTTGATACCCTCCTCATATCAAGCAGTATTTTGTTAAATGCTTGGTTAAATCTTAATAAGAGTATGCTATAAATTCTAAAGATCACATTTGTACAAGAATTTCATTCTAGAATTATTTCATAAATGAACAAGTTACTGTCCTTTAAAAAAGGACTGCAATGCGTGGACCATATACATGTATTTCTTACCGAAATTCAATTTAAGAAAATTTCTAGGTGAAGTCAATATTCATGTAGGTTTGTTCACATTTTCTACAATGATCTGCCTTCTTATGACTAATTGTAGTCTCAAAGCAAAATTGTTAAATTTTTACATCCGAGTAGCCTTTAGTTTTGTCAGTTTAAAAAATCGGGCTTTTTTGATAAATGTAACCTATAATTGCTGGGACTTGACATCTGTTCTGGATTTATACAGGAGAAACATATCGTGGGAAAAATAGATCTGTAGTACGCAGATTTTTTTTGTCGGAGCCCTCCCCCCTCCCCACATTAAAAACCGTGGCTACAGACTTCTATCAAACGGTATTTGGATTGCTGACATATCAAATTATTTTGCGAGCCTTGATGCACAACACTAGTGAAAACTTGTTCTATCTTGGACTAGTCGTTGAATGACGTTTTTTTTTCAAGTTGTTAACTTACATGTATCTATTACTGCAAGATCTTCCTGCTTTTTAAAATACTTGTGCCATAGAACCAATGTTTAGTTTGTATATAAAAGTACAAGATATTTCCGAGAATGCTATGATTTCTGACCTTATTTTCAAAAATAAAAATCAACCTCAGTGACAATTTCTAAATGACATATGATAGGGCGTTCATAATTGACACAATATGTCATAAAAAATAACATCTCAACCTCGAAAGCGGGGGACCACAATTCTTTGAATTTGCATGTTTTTTTTTCTTCTACAAATATCAATTTCATTAAAGGTCTTTTCTTCTAATTCTCATTCTAAAATATTGAGAAAAAAAAAATTAATTAGTTTTCATCCAATATGTACATACAGACATAAAAGGTATAATTATGTTTTTAAAATGAAAAAAAATTGTGTGTTAAAATCCATTAATCGACATTTATTTATAAAACATCAGCGCAGCTTAATAATAAATATTCAAAAACTTATTGTGTTACCAATGGCATTACATTTATTTCCATGCCCATTCAATATTAATAATCGCTTCGATTTTCTGTTTGACATCGGGTTCCATGCCACCAAACTCTCTAGAACTTTCAACAAATAGTGAGACCGGACATAAACAGAAAGGATTTGCACATTTTGTTTTTTAATCAATGGCTAGAGCTTATTTCTTTTATACAGTGTATCAGTTAAATCAAGTTTTGATTTAATAATTCATTAATGAAGTTTTATAAAATTAATAACCGCTTGCTTGTTGTCAGTTTTATTGTAAATGCCAGAGAATGAGATCCGCAAACCGGAACCACCACTTTACTCTCTTTAGTGCTATTTTGAGGCTATTAACCGAAAACGAAAGTACACTTTTAATTAAATTTAGGATAATTACTTTTCGACTGAAATCTATATAGAGTTTACGGATATCACCTTATACCTAGTGTATTCCAACAGGCTTAAGTAAGAACTCTTGTGCAGCCGTTTCGAAGATAATTTGCAAATTTTTTTAATTTATATGTGTAAGAGAGAAATTCGGATCCGCCAATGAATATATAAATACGATATGCGGATCTAAAAGCGCGATTCGCCAATGAATTGCATATTCTAATTCGAATAGGGTGAATTATTCTACGGGCAAGTTGCCAGGAGGCAAACTCTCTAGCATTCTCGCGCATGCGTAGCTTGTCCTTTGCCCATGGCATCCGGTGGCATATTCTTATTCGAATAGGGCGAATTATTCTACGGGCAAGTTGCCAAAAGGCGAACTCTCTAGCATTCTCGCGCATGCGTAGCCTTTCGTTTGCCCATGGCATCCGGTTAAACCATCTGGGTCCACGCAAAGAAAAGTCAAAAGTTATAATTCATGTGTAAAAGCTTTTTACAAGTACATTATGACGCCACCGGGTAGTGATGCGCTGATTCTAATGACGTAATACGGATTCCCCCCTGCACATTCAAGTTTACGTACACGTCAAGGTTTCGAAAGCTCTCTAATATTGTTCACATTTACTTAAGATAATTTTCACATTTACTAAGAACTTTTCATCATTTTTAAAGCAGCTTTAAGATTGTGCCATTACGTTTTTTATACAACTTCAGATACATTTACAAACATTATAAAAAAAACAGAAATACCACTTAAAACAAACACGCTGCGAGATACTCCCTACTCCTCCCCCCTTTCCATGTTTTTTTTTTTGTTTTTGGATATTCAATTTTTCTCCATGATTAGGTATCAAAACTATATGGACCGTGACCGTATAAAAATTGAAACATTGTTTACATTTATCTCAATCCCTTCTGTTCCGGAGCATAACATGCTTGTAAGCACTAAAGTTAACAATGGAAATACTAGTCCTGATACAGTATTTAAACGTGGACAATTTGCTTTGTGATACAACATTTATCATATGTATTTACCCTTCTACAACTTATGGAAAATTTACAACATTTTTGAATCTCCATTTCAGCATGTTGGCCCGGATGGTTTCCATTTGCCGGTCATTGTTACCAACTCCATACAGAGGGTGCCCCGTTTGAGGACGCAGTAGTAAGTGAAACATATGGAGATAACGACAGGCGTGGATCCGGGAATTTTTTTTCCATGGGGGGTCCACTCCAGTTAAAAAAAAAAATCCAACCCAGAAATTAGTTGACAAGCAAAAAAAAAAAAGTCATCTCTCCTAAAACGTGCAAATCCTATTGGAGGGGATGCGTTGTTTTCCAAATCGTCTTCATACCTACATGTATGACTTTTCATACCAACTAAACCATATCCAAGCTTTTGAGGAGGGGGGTCCAAGGTCACTCTTTACTTGGTTTAGTATATGAATTTAGTAACTCTGCAAATTCCAGGGGTGCGGACCCCTGACACCCCCCTCTAGATCCGCGCATGAACAAACAGTACTCAAGATCACAAGTCAATAAAGCAATATGAAATAGGAGCAGATCAAACACGGACCCCCAAAACATCAGCGGTAGGATCAGGTACCATGGAGGAGTGAGCATCCCCTGCCGACCGTTCACACCCACCAAGTGCTCCTTGTCATGATCAGGAAATAACGGGAAAATCCGTCATCAATCAGTCATCATTTGACTCAATGATAAATATTATTTGCTGACAAGGCCATTGTATCGACCATGGAACATAGAAAATGATGACTTAAAACAAGATTGCTGATATTCTTGTTTCATCAACTTGTTTGTCAATAATTTACCTTGATTTAGATATTGTTCATACGTACATGTAGAGCATGCTCTTGCGAATTGAATCAACTGCGATATATAAATTCCGTCTGCAGGTGATGATTTATATTGCTGCATAAGGAAGGGAAGTTGACGATAGAAATTCCACAACTAGGCCATTAAAGTTTTTTTGTTTACAGACTTCTTGGTTATAAGTACCAAATATCTTAGAGACCAGCAAGTCTTCATTAGACATAAAGGCGAAATTTTGAAGATAGTCTTAATTCAAAAGTGATATGTATTTCAGATTCGGTGTCAGACAGAGGGGGCGTATTTAGTTGAGGTTGACTCAGTGGAGGAGAACATGTGGATAACAGAAGAATTCGGTGGTATGTTATCAACGATATCTGTTTCAATTAGTTTCGTTTCTTTTTATCCACCGGTTCTTGCTGAGAGATTGGAATATTATCTTATTCTTTCTTTTCTTCGATATGTTTTCACGTCCTGTATATTTCATTTATGAAATGATTTTGTTTTATATATAGTGAAAATACATTGAATATATAAAGATTTTCTCCGTATTTAATAAACTAACCAAAACGTAGTCATAAATAAGGCTTTCTCTTCAATAAATATAAATTTCATGGCCCCAGGGTCAATGATTCTGGTGTAAGGGTGGGACTCTGTAAGAATGCATCAATTCTTTAAAAATCTTCTCTGCTTTTGGGTATCAAACAATGATGCGAAAGGATACCTACTCCAAAATTGTGAGTTTCATAGCCCCTTAGACAGGGGTTCTGGTGTTAAGGTGGGGCACTAATGAATATATTGTAAATAAGCATGAATTCTTTGAAAATCTTCCCCTTTGCTCCTGGTTATTACGCCAATGATTGATTGTATACTGTTTAACGTCCCTCTCCAGAATATTTCGCTGATATGGAGACGTCACCATTGCCGGTGAAGGGCTGCAAATTTAGGCCTATGCTCGGCACTTACGGCCTTTGAGCAGGGAGGGATCTTTATCGTGCCACACCTGCTGTGACACGGGGCCTCGGTTTATACGGTCTCCTCCGAAGGACCGCCCCATTTAGTCGCCTTTTACGACAAGCAAGGGGGTACTGAGGATCTATTCTAACCCGGATCCCCACGGGGTTATTACGCCAATGACCTACGTATATACACATTTATGATGAAGAAATGTGCATCTAGCAAAATGATTAATTTCATGCCCCCCTGGATCAGGGATACCGGGGGAGAAACATAGTCTATAAATAAATTAATGCTTTGAAATCTGCTCTTTGGTATTAATTAAGCATTAATGATGAAAAAAATTGTATGATAAAATTTCCAAAATTTTGAAATATGTTGTCCCAGGGTCAGTGGTTCCTGTTGGATGGGGTGCACAACTGGTTATAAAGTGGAGATTCATTTTCTCTTTATTACTCTGATCCACGTCTAAGTATTAAGTAACCAGAGAAGGCATGTTAAATGTATAATTATGATTAGCAATGGTGTCTCTTTTAAAGTTGTGAATTTCATTGCCAAGGTTTAAAACATAGCATCAAAGTAATTTTGATCGATAACCAGATCAGTTGACTATGACCGAAAAGCAAGCTTTTTTAAAAGTATCTTTTGAAATTGTTGAACAAAGCGTAAACAAAGCGTAAAAATGAGGAACATGTTATGTTATCGAGTTTTGAAAAAAAAAATAATTTAATTGAATTTTATTTATTATTTTCAATCTTTTTAGATTATGCTTGATGTTATCTTGTTTTGAAAACATTTTAAAAAAATGAAATTAAGTATTTTTTTAATGATTTAAGATTATGCTTGGATATGGCTTGGATTTAATGACCGAGAAATGGAAGGGACCTTTAAATGGACACGTCCAGGAAGTCAAGTGGTCTTCATAAATTGGAGACCAGGCGAGCCAAGCAATTCCCAGTCTGATGATTGCGCGGGGCTCTCTGATACAGGGGGTTGGAATGACATGAAATGTAAAAATGTTTTTCGGTTTATCTGTGAGAAGGAAAAACTGTGAGTTTAATGAAACGGAATAAAGAATAAGAAGGAGTGCAAGAACATATAGAATTTTAAAATAAAAAAAATGAAAAGTACAAGGTAAATAAAATAAAAATATTTCTAGTCTGGTTCAAGTAACATGAAAATAACACATTAAAAATGTTTAAAATAGAGCATATAAGTGCACATCGAAACAGAAAACGAGCACAATTCACATCTATTTTATCAACAAAATAATTTTTAAGTATTGTCTTTGCTTTAATTACACGTTTTGTGAACATGTAAACTTTTTAAAATTGTTGTTTATTTCTTAAATATAGCATCCAAATTTTATAATTTTGTTGATTTTTGATGACTATTATTAATTTTATAGAGGTTGTGACATTACTTTTGGATCAACCCTCGTACTAAATGATTGCACGCCTCTTTAATGACTGATGGGACACTTAAAATCAATAACTTCAATTGCTCAATATTGATCATATCATGAGGTCTAAAGTGAACACGGAGATTAAACAGACTCATTTAAATGTGTAAAACGATTACGTCATAAAGTTAACTAGTTACTCTAAAACATGTATTAATATTCATAAGTATTTGCACACAACGTGCACTATCTGAATGTTAGCAGAAAAAAATGAACATGTTAATGTTCCCATTAATACATTAATATAAAATGAAAAAAGGGAAAATTAAAGTAAATGGATCAAAGTTTTCTTAATGACAGCTAAGAGCAGGTATTTCAAATGTTCAAACCTCTCATAACTTTGCTATCAATTTTTAAACTAAAATATATCTTAAATTGTAAGTGGAAAGTTTGACTGTAGAGAATGTAGGATAAATCCAGAACTACACTGTACATGTTTTTTACTGCCAATATTGTTTAAAATAAACATATGTCCGCAATAAGAGAATGCTTAAATTACCAAGTAATTGGTGTTTTTTTTTTTGATTTATTATTACTTATTGAGTTCTGAAAATCTTATCTATTAAAAATTATATGAACGCCTCTTTTCATAATCTTGTCCGAGTATGGTCACGGCCGGGAAATGTCTACAGCTACATGTATAAGTTTGCTAAAAAGAAAAATCAAAAAATATAATTACACATAAATATATAATATTATTGCATAAAAAATTTGGAATACCTTTCTTTGGTAATCTCAGGTGACTTATTGCTATCCGTTTTTGTCCATCGTCGTTAGTTGTGCGTTAACATTTGAACATTTTCAGCTTCTTATCTTCAACCAATTTTAACCAAAATTTGGCATAAATCATCTATGGGTGAAGGGAAACAAAACTTGTGAATTTCATGATCCCCGCCCCCCTGGGGTCTGAGTGACAGGGCCAAAACCACTTAAATTAATGCAATCTTTAAAAATCTTCTTTTCTCCTGGACATCAAGCAGTCAAAGTTATGACATGATTGTATTCAGCATTGAGTCCTCTACCAAACTGTGAAATCCATGGCCCCAGGGTCAGGGGTTCTAGTGCTAGGGTGGGGCTAAATAGATTATATGAAAATGCATTAATTCTTTGAAAATGTTCTTCTCTGGTCATTGAATAAACTAACCAAGTACCCATTTATGTTGAATAAGGCTCTACCGAAATTATGAAATTCATGGCCATTGGGTCAGGGTTTCTAGTGCTAGGGCGGGGCTCTATTAATTACTATTAGTGAAATTGCATAAATTCTTTAAAAATCTTCTTCTCTGCTCCTGTGTCTTAAATAAACTAACCGAGTACAAAGTCATCATGGGCAAGAATGTTTCTTCCAAAATTGTAAATGTCATGGCTCTTGGATCAGGTGTTTTGGTGTTAGGCTCGGGTTCTATTAATTATATCGGGAAATTGTATAAATTCTTTGAAAGTCTTCTCTGCTCCTGTGTATAAGATAAACTTACCAAGTACAAAGTTACGTTGAATAAGACTGCCTCTTCTCTATTTGTAAATTTCAGGGCCCCTGGGTCAGGGGTTCTGGCATTAGCGTGTGACTCTAATGAAATTAATGAATTCTTTGAAAATCTTTTCCTTTGCTCCTTTTTAATATGCCAATGGTCTAATTACATATTTATGATGAAAAAAGTGCCTCTTTCAAAATGGTTGATTTCAAGGGTTCTGGCATTAGGGTGGGGCTCTAGTGAAATTCATGAATTCTTTGAAAATCTTTTCCTTTGCTTCTTATTCATATGGCAATGATCTAATTATATATTTATGATGAGGAAAGGAGCCTCTTTCAAAATGGTTAATTTCAGGGCCCCTGGGTCAGGAATACCGGGGGAGGACGGGGGTACTTTTTGTCTAAAAATAAATTAATGCTTTGAAATCTGCTATTTGGTATTAAT